GACAAAATCTGAGTGTGTGTCACAAGGATATTTCTCCAGTTCCTTATAAAATTAAAAAATATCCCTATCTGACTACCTATGTATCTACCATCTGTCAATCTGTATGTGTGCTCGTTCATATCCCTCTCTAGTTATTCCATATAGGAATTCTAATTCTCAAGTGACATGACACATTAATGATAACCCAATTTCTAAAATAGGAAACTAAATAAAACTATAGTTAGTAGCTATAATATAACATATAAGTTTCAGTTGATTTATAATTTTCAGTGAATTAAGGAAAAGAAAGATTTTCATTTCAAAGAATTGTATTTACATAAAATGACTAAGTATATTAACATATTTTTTGAAAAAAATGAAGAACTATTTATTTTTATTTTATATGTATGAATGTTTTGCTTTCATATAAGCCTGTGTGCTCTGTGTGAGCATGGAGCCTGCAGAAATTAGAAGAGGGTGTTGGGTTCTCTGGAACTGGTGGTATGGATGGTTGTGAACCACCATGTGGGAGCTGAGAACCAAACCCAGGTCCGCTGCAAGAGCAGCAACTATTCTTAACTGATGAGCCATCTCCCCAGCTCCAATATTAGCTTCTTTCTTTATTTTAAAAACTTATGTTATTTTTTTTTCATTTCCTGGCATGAAAATGTGCTAAGGATGAGTTTATTTGAATGAGGCAATTAGTCAATTAATTTTGCTTCTGGGAAATTATTTATTCAAAGTTTTTTTTTCATTAGGAGCAGTGGGCATAATTTTTATCTTTATGGCTTTTCCCAATAATGTTTGCATCCAATAATTGAATGGCTATGTCTTTCGGTGTGATTTAAATGCACAATAGTGACATCATGGAAGTCAGACTAGGTGGCTGAGTTAGGAAGTAAAGGAACTCTGTTGAATTTACCAGGACAGAGGTCTGCATTCCCTAATTTCCTGGCTCCCAGAGTGTAAGTCTTAGGAGCTTCTCATAGGATAGTCAGTGAAGGTTCCAGGTAACGTCATTCTAGGAGAAAAAGAAGAAAACATTCTGGTTGCCTCCTGCTGGATTCCATACTTTAACCTTTTCTTTTAAATTTTAGATCACTGCACCTTTAATATCTTAAGTTCTCCACTTCTGACAACTCTTCAGGTAGTGGCACTGCCAGTGTCTTGCAGATAAGAAACCTAGGACCTTGATCAATGATAAAATTGTTCAGAAAACAAAACAAAACAAAACAGAGCAAGATCTCTCTTTTTTTTTTCTTTTCTCTGACTTGAGTCCATGCTAATTACACCAAGTTTGAGAGAAGAGGAAGCAGGAAGACTGAAAGGCAGTGGGAATGGTGGGATGACTCAGTGGTTAAGAAAGAATATTTCCCTTGGAGGTGATCTCCTACCAGCATCCCTGGTTCATGTCTCACAACCACCTAAAACTATAGCCCCATAGGATATGATACCCTTTTCTGGACTCCGTGGGGACCTGTACTGACTGTCACATAATCACAGAATCAATCTCTCCCCCCACCTTACTCACTCACTCAAACACACACACATATCACATCACACATGCATACATAAGTACAAATAAAATTAATCTTTTAATAAGAAAAGAACTATGGAAGAAAGGTTTGTCTTGATAAGAAATGACTTGCATGAATTTGGAACTGGCAAGTCTAAAGTCTGTATCCTATGTAGCTAATGCTGGATAGTGCAGTCCTGGTTCGAAATCCATGGGGCATGTCTACATGTGATAAATCAGACAAAATTCTATGTAGAGTCCTGAGGCGGAATTCCTTCTTCACCAGGAGCCCTTGGTTTTTACACATAAAAGCTTCAGTTGGTTTGATGAGGTCCATCTGTTGTATTGAGGGCAACTTCCTTTTAAGTCAGTTGATTGTAAGTGTCAAGAGGAGCATCAAAAATGATCAAACACCTCAGCATCATAGACTAGCCGGGCTGACACACACTTAACCATACTAGACTTCCAGAAAACACCTCTCACATTTATGCTTTTCTCCTGGACTTGTTTGAATGACGACACAGAAGCAAAATGGAATTAAAGAAAAGGTATTTAGGTTCCATGTAGGTTTTTGAGGAGATTATACATGAAGGAGATTTTTTTTTTCAAGACGTAGATTGAGTTGAAAGTAATGGGAAAAAAATAAACCTTTCTTTGATGATGTCCAGGTTAGCAGTCAGAGGAATTTGGAAAAAAAGATAACGGATTACGGATGTCTATGCCTCTTGGTTGCAGTAAAAACTGAAGGCATTTTCTTGCCCCAGGTGGGATTAAGGAGGTGAATTTCTGAAAGATGTAATAATAAACCACAGCTGCGCCTTCTTTAGGGTGAGCGCTGCTAGGGGGAGATGAAGGTACAGGGTTTTCAGAAAGGAGCTTTCATTAACAAACTGATATTTCTTGGGCAGGTGCTCATTGCCTGGGGCAGAGCTTTGTGAAAGCGCATTACCACAATGGCATGCTGGGCTTGCTAATGTGCTGCTGATGCGCATGCTTCTTTAGAAGTGCTTCCCATGGCTGCCTAAACTGCCCCTTCCTTCCACTTGAGCTATGCAGACTTCAGAACTTAAAGCCCTGGGACACTTCCTCTACTTTCAACTAGTTATTTTTTTATTGGAAAAGCAATATATGTTCTTTGAATTAAAATTAGGGGAATATGACACACTGTATCTGTAATCAAACCATTAACATTACAGCGTATTTTAATGACAGTTCTAACTTAGTATGGATGTTAGTGTGAATTAGATTTTGTATATAGGTAGAATATAGCTACAAAAAATGGGTTCAGAGCTTATATATGCCTTTATATCCTGCCTTTTCCTCATTTATATCATTGGTAGAGTTCCTTGTCAATTTACATGCTATAGATGTTTTTAGGGCTGAATAAAATTCCATTATCTTAACATTCTCAACAGTAGTACAATTCACTGATAAAATATAAAAGTATGTTATTCTTTTAAAATAAACATTCTTGAAATGTTGTAGCTCTCAGGATACCTGTCTTTAAACAGGAAATATAGGGAAAAAAACATATTAGTGTACCTTAAATCATTGTCCTCTAATAAGTATTGGATTACATCAAGCAAAATTCTTGGAGGCAGTAGGTAATACTTTAGGAGTAAACATTAGTTTAAAATTTCATTATCTCAAGTTCAGAAATAAGAGTGATGTGTCAAGGACAATTCATCTTTAAATTTTTCATTATCTTTAGCTTTGAGGCGGCAGGCTCCACAGCCAAGACAAATTTCCAGTGCCCTCTAACTATTGTCTTGTCATCTTGTGTCTGAGTAGGATGTGTTTTATTGAATTAGATTAAAATTAAGTCTGGAAGCTTATTATGCAACAGTCTCTAAAGAACACATGTTCCCCCACCAATGCCTGCTCTATGAATTGCTAATACCCACAGTGCAAGGCTGTTCTATTCATCTCTAGAATGACTATCTCAAAACATGTAAAGATAACAGTGTTATCTAATTGTAACAACCAAGTTTCTCTTCCCTGTTTTTCTTTAAATTCTTCTATCAGTATATGCATTTCCAAAGTCATAAAGATAACCTCCTAATTAACAGTTTTCAGTCTGTAGGCTATATGATATAGCAATAAAGCAGGAGCTCCTGGAGGTATTTGACTGTATTATCAATCAAGCTGAGGAAGCAGCTAGCTCCCAGCGTCACTATTTGAAACATACAGTGACTATGATATAATGGTGTTTTTTCTTGGAGACCAGAGCATCTCCACCTAACTTAATACATTGCATCGTTCACGGAGGATGAGTCCTGGGATTTTGTAGTCATCAGAGTCAAAATGCCAAGAAACAACCCCCTTTAGCAAATTGAATATACAATATTAAACAAGTTTCTGGATCACCTAGGATGAACCTAGAGAAGAGACTCACAAATCTTCAGCATAGAACATGCCAATTCTGTTCCAGTGAAAAAGCCACCTGCAAAAAAAAAAAAAAAAAAAAAAAAAAAAGTCTCAGACTATGAGAGGAATGTGCCAGGAAGAGTCTGCACCAGCAAAGCAGAAGGGTCACCCTGCTGCTCTTCTTATTTGCCTCCCTTCAGCTCTGCACTCAAGTAGGCAAATACTGAAGCCATGTTCAGAAGCCTTGGTTGCCAGAATCCCTGGCTCATATCACATGTTGGATGGAATCATAGTTTCCAAAGTAAAGGGCATCACAAAAAACAGATGATCGGGTTAATGTTAAGAAAATTAGATCATAGCCCTAAATGTGCTCAATATTAGATTGATACTAGAAACTCCTAGAGAGCAACTGCTTTGTCAAAAATTCCTCCACCTCTTAGAAAGTATAGACTTAATTTAAATAAGAACATGTTACTATGTAAAGTTTGGGAACATACTGCTTCATAATTAAGAAAAGAACTTATATTTCGGCCTATATAGTATGACAAAATTGCTTCCTGATACCAATATTCCAAGTATTTTCTATGAAATGCAGAATATATGATAATTGCACCTTAAAAGAGTTTGACACACCTTTAATTCCAGCACTCACTCCAGAGAGAGGCAAGCAGATCTCTGTGAGTTCAAGGCCAACCAGGTCTGCAGAGTGAGTTCCAGGACAGCCAGGGCTGTCACACAGAGAAACCTTGTCTCAAAAAAAGGAAAAAAAAATGACATGATTTACCTATAATTTTGTTCCGCTCACCAAAAAATAGGTAATTGACTTGTCATTATAGGTTTTACAAAATTGAAATTTATTATTAATAAGGTTTTAAGTTTACATACCAATATGTAAATACCCTTCTCCCACTTAATAGCTGTCATAAAAGGTTTCTGACTTACGTAGATGTTAGAAATTATTGATATTTTATTTTATATATATATATCCTAGTTAGAAATTTATCACAGAGAAAGTATGGATTGAATGATTCTAACAATGATCATTAGCATGAAACAATACTATATGATGAAGTGTTCGATTGATATGAAATGTTATTCATACATTTAACAAACGTTGATTCATGCTTACTATGTATGAGACACCTAGTAGTGGCTTGGAATAGTTCAGTGACCAAAACAATTATCCTTATCCTCTTGGCACATCTGTTTTAACCTGTGTAGACAATAGACAAGAATTGTCATATGTAATCAGGAAATGCTAGCAGGTAACAAGTACTTTAAGAAAGTAAAAAAAAAAAAAAAAAATGGCTGGAAAGATGGATCAGTGACTAAGCGAGTTTGTTGCTCTCATAGAAGACCAGAGTTTGGTTCCCAACACCCATGTAGGGCCGTTCACTACTGCCTGTAACTCCAGCTACTCGGAATTGACTCTCTTCTGGCCTCCAAGAGCACCCACATACACACAGACCTATACACATACCGACAAATGTACATAAGTAAAGTAGAATTAATCTTTTGATTTTAAAAAAGAAAAGAAAATGATGAAACAAAATTATGTGATAAGGTTGTGGAAGGGTCTGTTCAACATAGTCCTTGCCTAGTAGGGGCATTTGAAGACAGACTTAAAGGGAATGAGAAAGTGTACACGGGGGAGTATTCAGAGAAAGAGCCTTCCAGGCATTAGATGGAGGAGCAGGAGGCAGTATGGCTGGGTGCAGTGAGCATGAGGACCTTGAAGCACCTGGGCTTGAGTTCAGAACACACACAGTCGCTGGAGGTTATGCAAGTATCACTTGGGAAATTGTAGCAATCAATCCTTGATCTATTCAATGAGAAAGTACTAGCAATTAGTCTTCTAACTAGATTTAGATTTTTACCTACACAGGGCAAGATTATATCTCTGAGTCTTAATTTTCTATAACTTTAAAGATGGGTAGATGGCATGAAGATTAAGACTGACATAAAGAGCCAGTCAGTGTAACTACCTGTAGTGATATTTTATTTGTGCTGTAACAAATAAAGCTTGCCTGGAGATCAGAGGAAAAAGTCAGCTACTATATTAAACATAGAAGTCAGGCAGTGATAGCACACGCCCCTAATCCTACAATTCAGGAGGCAGAGATTCATCCAGATCTCTGAGTTCACGGCCACACTGGGAACAAAGCCAGGAGTGGTAGTACCCGCCTTTAATCCCAGTGCTAGTTAACCATAGAGGTATGGAGGTCTGTATAGACAGACAGGAAGTGATAGAGCAGGGAGGAAAGAGGAAAGTGATGTAGCTGGGCAGAGAGAGGAAATTAAGATGGCAGGGCACAGAAAGGTATGTAGGCATGAGTATGCAGGAATTAGCTCTCTCTTGGGCTGAAGATTTCCTAGCAGTAAGAACTTGTGGCTTGGCTTGTTCTATTCCTCTGATCTCTCAGTTTTCACCTCAATATCTGGCTCCAGGTTTTTGGGGGTTTTTTTGTAAGACTATTTAGCAATTTGTGTTACAACTACCTACAACTCAGATTCCAGACATGCGTTGGGAATAAGTAATAGCAGAGGATCGTAGTGGGAAACAGAATTTTCCTCTGTTTTTATGTCCTTTTAAGGAAATGGTAACCATTCCATGGGGAAAAAGTAGAGTATTTGTTTGAGTTGGTTAGGCCTTTAAAACATAGGTAATAGGGATGCATGTCTACCAGACAGCATGCTGGTGATTCTCCTTGCATGGTCCAGGAGAAAGCATGGCTGCTTGAGTGTAATCATTTCTTCACTTCACTTCACTTCATAAAAGAATAGTGTGTACTTTTATTACAATGTACAAAACTATGTTTCATTGCTAATTTGTTTCTCCAAGTTTAAGCCCTTATCATTTTATCTCTGTTTAAATTTGGCTTATAATCTGGAATTTGATTTCTTACTTCACAAAGTACATTATGGTGTCTATGGTTTTTATAGATATCTGCAGATAAGTTAAAAATAATGTGGGACACAGAACCATTTCCCTAGGAAAACTCATTATCCATTTATTCTGTTTAAAGAGAGGATATTCAAGCTGTGTAAGTCTATGTAGTGAGAAAGCAATGGTTTAGGCATTAGAGGACTTATTATACAGAAATGTTTTAAAATATAAAGTCACAGATAAAGCCTCTAGTTGGCTGTATGCATTTTCTTAGTTTATGATGTATTGCATGTGATTAAATAATAAAGGCTGAGAGCAGGAGAAATAGTCTTACCCAGAGAACAACATAACAGATGGTTATCTAATACCAAATGGTCAGCTCTGAAAACATACATACAAGTTACGTTATACAGACTGAGCAGGTTATATAGAGAAATTTATATGGATATACATTTTATATATATTCATAACAATTTATTAAAAGTGGGATGTGAATTTGAAAGAGAGCAAGAAGGAGTATATGGGAGGGTTTGGAGGGAAGAAAGGGAAGAGGGAAATGATGTACTTATCATCTCAAAAATAAAAGAGATCATAAAAATAATAAAGTGGTATTCAAAAATAATGTTTGCTGCGTATTAGTACAGGTCAATCTTCTTTTTATTACCTTGGAAACTTTTGTTCCTACTTGTGAAATCATGAAGATATTGCTCTGCATTCATTCAGGAACTATATCCTGAGTCCCTGGAATGTGTCTGGCATACATCTGAATCCTGGCATTGTCCCAATGAACTAAATAGACACACAAACCAGCTCTCCTGTAAGTTACACATTCAGGAAGACAGTAAACAAGAGGAGGCGTATGCCACATCTCTAACTGTGATGTAGAAAGAGAAAATAAGGGAGAATATTAGTCCTGAGGAAGGCAATTTTACAGAGTACCCAAGGAAGGACTCACCGAGAAGGGAACACTGAGCATGGACTCCATGGAAGGAAGGGAGTGGGTCAGGAAGATACTGGAGGAAGGGAATCCTTTCAAGATGGCGTTACTCTAGAGCTGTGGAGTTGGAACTGCAAGGTTGTCTTTGTGCCCGGAGAGTGAAAGTAGCAAACTGAAGAGATGAGAGCATTCAGACACAGTGTATGTAGCATCCTGCAGGCCTTTGTAAAATTGAGGAAGACTAAAACAGAGACCAGCTGACAAAGCTTACACAGTGTGGATTTGTTGCAAAAACCCCTTCCTTGCACACTGGCACTTGATTTACAGCTACCGTGGGATAAACTTGAAGGGTTAATAGCATATCGCCCATAAATTCTGTGGCATCACTGGTGCCAGCCACACTGAGTAACACATGACTTGGAACTTTTAGGTAGCATCATAAATAGTCTTTTCAATTTTATCTAATGTTTGATAGTTCACATTATTTTTACATTTTACTCAGGGAAGTTACCAAGTGAATGCCTTTTTCTTTTTTTCCAAAAGTTGTCACATAAGTAAAAATTCTGACCTGTCTTCATCTTAATAATCATTCCTTTTATTATTGATTTTACTGTTTCAAAAAAAAATCTTATTATAACATACATCCTAATGCTCCTATAAAAAATCCCGATGTTATTTTTGTGTTTCCATACATTTTTTAACATTTCCTTTTATGATTCCACATGTTAAGTTTTATCTACACTAGAGAATACAAAAATTAATGTGTATGTCCAACCTTGAACTGATACTTTTCTTTCTCTGCATTTGCTATTTTTCCTCTAGACAAGGATAACCATAACAATACAGTGTAGGAATATTGTAGAGTTGAATTGTGACTAACATTTGTGACTGACTTTTAGATGTCTTGAATGGTATGACAATGTTCATTTCACTGTTCAAGGATGTTTTTTTCAATATTACCTCTCTTTTCTACCTTGCATCCTGATTTGCATGATGAGATGCTTTCAAATCTTCTGAGGGAAGAAATAAAGTTTTCTTCTCAAATTAATTATTTCTCTTTCCTCTAGAGCCTGCCATTCCATTTTCATCTCCTGGAATTTATTTTTATTTTTATTTTTGCCATGGATTTTCTTCAAGGGCTTAGAGATGCTTGACTCAGAAGGGATTACTATAAAAGCATGTGAGTTGATAGCATCTACATTGCTGACCTGGAGACTACTGTGTATGTATGGTACAAGTCTTTTGTCATGCACAGCACCTTCTGGGACAAGATGCTGTCTGTGGTGTCTACTGCACCTGGGAGGCAGGCTTCCTCCTACAATTTGTGCTCAAGGAACATCCAAGCAGGTCATACTAGTGCAAGCAGAATGTGCTTCTTAAACAGCATTACCTTTCTCTACCTGGGTCATGCTTCTACATCATTTGTGGAAATCCAGACTTTCCTATAGAATTGTCTCCACACAGATTAGGACCTTTCTTTGGGGGACTTCTTGGCTTTAATAGAACCATTTTGTATACATCTCCTATAGTCTGAATGTTTGTATTCCCACTCCCTAAATTCATGTGTTAAAATCCCAACACCCAAGTGATACCTTTCAGAGTTGGCGATGCCTTTGGGGGTGTGTGTGAATTTTGGCCTTTGAGAGGTTAGTGCCTTCATAAAAGATACCTTGAAGAATGCCCATGCCCCTTACACCATCTAAAACTATAGCTAGAAGGTGCTATTTACAAACTGGGCACTAGACATTCCAGTTCCTTCGTCTTGAATTACTTAGCCTCCAGGATTACAAGACGGAAACTTCTGTTGCCATTAAGCCACTAGAGTATTGTTTTGTTGTATCAATGTAAACATCTAAGACAGTAAGCTAAAGAGGAGCAAACACCTGACTGGCCCAACAACCTAACTTCTGAAACAACCTAACTTCTGAAACGACTCCTAGAGTTCTTAGTGCTTCTTAAAAACAATACAACTTCCCTCCGGCTTTAAAGGCACTTCATTTTGTTCTGATTTCTGTTTTAGCCTGTTTACATCTGTATCCACTTCTCAAGAGTTACTGCTTGGCCCTTAGGGCCTGTTTTTAAGAATAAATTCTGTACCATCTTAGTGAGTTAAGGAAAAAAGCCAAAGGATGGTGAAGCCCGTATCTGTCAACCATTTGGGTTGTAGTCCAATACATGACTCTTGTTTGTGACTCCTGTGTTTTCGCTCTGGTTAGTCATTCTGAATATGAACTACATATGCCTGTGGTCTAAGGTAAGCGTTTATAACACAGGTGTATGATATCAGGAAATTGCTTCCATGTCTTACTTCAGGCTTTCCATAAAGACAAAACAAAAAGAAAGAGAAATTCACAGAGATAAAGAGATGTGAGATAGATGATAGATAGGTATGTAGACAGACAGACACATACATAATACATACATAATACATATATACTTGAAATATAGGTAGATGATAGATAGATAGATAGATAGATAGATAGATAGATAGATAGATAGATACATACATACATACATACATACATACATACATACAGTACATACATGTACATACAAGAAGGAATTTATTTAAGCAAAAAAGCTCACACAATTATGAAAGCTGAGCATTCTCATGCAAAGAAAGAACCAGGAAGTTGATAGAATATCTGCATCAAAATCTGAAGGCCTTACAATTATCAAAGGTGATGCTAAAAATCCCTGATACCACATGCCTAAGAACCTAGGAGGCCACTAGAATAAGGTCCTGATTCCAAGTTTGAGAGTATGGATAGCTGATCTTCAAGGTCAGCCAAAGATGACCACTCACAGAAGGGAAAGGAGGACTTCATCTTTCCTCCACATTTGTATTATTTGTCTGTGAATTTATTGGATGGTACCCACCCAAATCAGATGAGGCTGCATCTTCTTTATTCATTCCACTGACTCAAATGGCAGGTGTAGGAAACTCTGACAGACATTTCCCTAAATGATGCTCACTGCCAGGTCCCTGGGGATCCTCTACTTCAATCAGGTTGAAACAAAAAATAAACCATCATGCTCCTCTTCCTTTAGAGTGTCTCCTTCTGACTCTAAACTGAAGGTGCTAGATCACCACACTTAAAACAAGAGGGCCACATTCTCACATGTAGCCATTACCAGTCAATAAATGAATGAATTATTACTGTTAATTAGAACTTCTCCCACGTAAGCCAGGATCTCTTCTTTAGTTGAACATGAGACAGAATTGCTTTCCTAGTATTTACTGCTAGGAATTTAAAAGTAGAAGGAAGCAAGATTAGTTTGGAGGCTTTAGTGAAAAGGGGAAATGGTTAAGACCAATAGGTGGGAAATAAATGTGAGATACAGTAACTTCCCATCACTACCCATTGGGATAGGTAGTAGGTATGTTTCTCTGTCACCTCTCAATATTTCAATGACAAGAAAATTGACTTAAATGCTGGTCTTCTTAACACCTTCAACATAAAAGAATCAAAGGGATAAAGGAGTGGTAAAAATGAATGGAAAAAAATGGTTAGAAGTCACCCTTCCCTCAGTCTTCTGCATATTGAAATGAACATGATTGTTTTTGTTTTTCTATGTGTTTTCTAT